ATTTTATGAAGCAATAAAAATTTTACAGATTTAGTGAATATATTAATGCACTATGTATGTTTTAAAGAAATAAAGCAGAAAGATTCTAAACAGCCATAACATTTGAATAAAAGGACATTTTTCTGCTCAATTTTTCTGGTCAGAGTTGTACAGAAAGTTTTATGATTTTTAAAATTGTTTATTTAACAGGTGTGTAAACAGATGCAACTTGTTTATTTTATTCCTACTCTTAAAATTTCACCACTGCCAGAAAGCTTGTGGATAAATTTATAATATTTAAATGAAAATTTAAAAATTATATAAATTCTAGCAATAAATAAATAGTTTCCTTTTTACCATTTAGGCAAAAATAAAAGAAACTCTAGAATTGCATATGCTTTAAATAATTTACTAGTCAGTATTAATGTAGTAGCATACTGACATTTAGAGGAAAACTTTTTGGGACTGTGAAGCTGCTTCCAGTTTAGGGGAGTCCACTGTATAGCAGTCTTTATTTCAGTAACACCAGCAACAATTGAAATGACAGTGTTACAGTGAATTCAAAAGTAATGGTTTGTATGCTTGTGTATTTTTATATGTAAAACATCTTCTTTCCTGCCTGCCTGCTCAAATAATGTTAAGTAATGTTAATTTTAAAACTCATTTACTGAGTTCACATTATTGAAAAGATACATTCATTGTTCTTAAGTCACTTTAAAAGGAAAGTCTTTTTCTTTGCTTATGAAACTATTTAACTGACACCTTTTCCAAAGCAAGCACCTATAAAGGCAAAACAAATGCCCAGCAAAGTTTGTGACTATTTTGCAGGTTTGCCCTTGAAACTGTTCTTACTCCAATCCTGCTCCAATCTGTAGCAGGTCATAAGCATGGCAGATTAACATCAAAGACTTTGGTGCCTGACGGCATGGTTTCGGGACCTGATTTCACAATTTAGTAGTTGTGTGACCTCGGGCAAGTTACTTTTTGGTTCTGTGTCTCATTTGTTCTTCTTTTTATTTTTGGAGATGGAGTCCTGATTTGTCGCCCAGGCTGGAGTTCAGTGGTGTGACCTCGGCTCACTGCAACCTCCTCCGCCTCCTGGGTTCAGGCAATTCTCCTGTCTCAGCCTCCTGAGTAGCTGGGACTAATTGTTTTGTATTTTCAGTAGTGACGGGGGTTCACCATGTTGGTCAGGCTGGTCTCGAACTCCTGACCTCAGGTAATCCACCGCCTTGGCCTCCCAAAGTGCTGGGATTACAGGCATAAGCCACCGTGCCTGGCCTCTCATTTCATCATCTGTAAAATAGGTGTAATAATAGTATCCACTTATAGGTCTGTGGTGAGTTATTAACACATATATATGACACTTAGAACAGTACCTGGCACACAATTGCTATGTAGGTGTTAGCTTCATTTGAAATTTAGACTTTCTATCCTAATTCAATTTTTCCTCTTGTCAGTTGCATTTGACAGTGTTTATTTGGTCTCCGTGGTGCTTGAACGTTAGGTTTCCCAGAAAAACTTCACCTTGGCAGTGCCCCTTCCCATCTGTCAGGGCCTGAGCACATTCCCCTGTGCCTGGGGTGTTTTTCACCCATTACCTTCAGATTCTCTCTTCACAGAGTTAACATCTTTTGTCCTTTAGTTCTCACCTCAAACATCACTTCCTTGGGAAAACCTTCCCTGGTCCTACCAGGCTAGATTTAGGGCCCCATGCTTTAAGCGTTCTTATATCCCTTTAATTTTCTTTCATAGCACTTAACAAAGTTTGCGGCTATAATTATGTGACTATTTAAATATATATCCCCCACTTGAAATCTAAGCTCCTCAAAGGCAGGGTAAAAATCCATTTTGCTCATCATTGTGTCCCAATCATGATAGCTTTGGCATAGAGTATTTGCACAAGAAAAACTTGTTAATAAATGATAAATCAATTTCAGAGATCAGAAGTCTGGAGTTCAACACAAGTCAACATGATTTACCCAAGATTATACTAGTAGACACGACAGAGTTAGAAGTAGAATTCACTTCTGACTCAAAGTCCTTTATTGTTTCCAGGTATTACATCTTTGATTATACAAATCAAACAAAGAACTGTGCAATTAGTATTGTGGAGCTTCTAGAATGACAAGTAAAAGTACAAATCAGAAAGACTTGAACTATCTAAAGTATTCTGGAGGAACTGAGTCTCCCTGAGAAACTGATTTTTACAACATGAAGTAGGAGTTAGAATGGGTACGAGGAGATGGGCAGAGGCTTCTAGGTAGAAAGAACCATTTATGCAGCAGTCCAAGGATGAGAAAAGCTTGGTGAATGAAAACAGAGAAAAGGCCACTGTGATTGCAACAGAAAGAGTAGGAAGTGGGAGGCTGACGTTGATCAGAGGGGCAGGGCCAGATCATGCAAAAGCTCATGTTCGTAACACAAGGGAAAGCCACTGAAGGGTTTCAAGCGGGGGATGACACAGTCAGCTTTGCATTTTCATAAGACGATACTGACTGCACTCTGAGGGATTTCAGAAACAGAAAACTTGGTAATTGGTTGGAGATGGGAGTCAAGATAGGAGGACATAAAAAGGGAATGCTGATGTGTCTGGTATAATCAACTGGGAGGATTGTGGCACCATTTACTGAGAGAGCCATTAGTAGATAGAGCAAGATTATTAATTTCGTTAAATATATGATATGCTCTCAATAAATAGTGATAATTGTTATTGTCTTTGTGGTTGCTATTATTAATCATTATTCCAAACCACTTGCTGTGACTGGGAGTGATGGTGATTTTTATGGATTTCAGTGGATTTTGGCCTGATGTGTTACTCCCACTATGTACACAGGCACATCTGGAGTTGGTGATTGGAAAAGGAAGTCATCCAAGGGACCAAGAGAAGGTAGACTTAGGATAACGTGAGGACAACATGAGAAAACAGACTTTTTAATTTTCTGAATTTCCTTCTCCTTTTTCCCAAATCAAGAAATTTTAGATATGATAGTATGACCATGGCCACTAGATCTATGAGAGCAAACAGGTGTAGGAGGCATCAATGCTGTATGGGGAGACCAACCTATAAAATTAGTCTGAATTTGCCTTTTGGGGTAAATAATGGATGAGCATAGGCAGGTCAAAGGGCTTTCCTATAAACTGAGTAAGCAAAGAAATCAGGAAGTATGCTTAGATCTTTGACCGTGTTTTTTTTTTTTTTAATTTAGATTTTATGTATATATCTTTGCCTCATGTAAAATCTGTCATGTTCATTTAGATCGTTTACATGTAGTAAAAAAAAAAAAAAGAATACCTATTAGGATGGTTAGTTGGCACTATAGATTATGTAGCCCATTTTAATTCTGGTGCCACCTCTGCAAGCATACCAGGAGGTTGCTAAGCCTTCACACTATGTGACTGGCTCATGTCCACTGCCTTTGTTCCCTAGAGATACAAGGAAAGCAAAGGCCATGCATCAGGATTAGCCACATGGTGTTAATGAGAATCCCTGCCATCATTATCCTGTTTATCCTGTTAAAGAAGTCCTGGAGTGTATGAGGTAGATGGCAAATGTGTTAAGTATACTAAAAGACAAGGTCCATTTCTGAAGTCTTGAACCCTGAGTTAAGAAATTTTAGGGTACTGAGTCCACGTGCTAACTGGGCATTTTCCAACAAGGCATCTACAAAACAACTAAAGAAAGAGGCAATGAGGGGAAGTCAAATATAAGAAAAGTCCAGATTGCTTTGGTCACATGAGGTCCTGCTTACAATGAAAAGCCACAGTGATTCCTGCTTAATCTCACACATATATTTGGCATCATTAAAGCTTAACCATCATCAGGGAACATCATACAAAGACATTTAGACTGGTATACAGCAAGGGGTTTTAAAGAAGTGGAAAAGATGAATATTTCAAATGACCTTCTAGGCAAGTTTGACATGCATTTTATTTATACTAGAATATTAGGGAGGTCCTTGACGTATTTTAATGTATTTTTATTTATGCCTTATTATATTAAACTAGGAAAAGCATTGAATAATATCTATTTTCACTCTTTTTTATTTATATAAGCACATACACATAGCTTAAAAGTGAACATGTCTTTTTTACAGCCTTGGGAAATTTGTCACATTTTCTAATCTGGTATAATTCAACAAGGTATAAACTACCCCTGCCTCCTGCATTCAATGTAACAAAATAAGCCAGTGCTGAACCATTTGAGCATTTGCATCTATTCCTTATTATATTAACCAGCCCTTGTTTATATTCAGAGTTTTAGCTTTTTGATAAGCCATTTTGATTACTATTCAGAAATTCTGAAGAAGAGAATTTTCCCCCTCACATCACTAGTGGTTAGAAGCATGGGTTTGAAAATCAGACTGTGTTTGAAAAAAATTTCTACCATTTTTTAGCTGAGTAATCATTTAACCTTTCTGTGGCTTAGCTTTCTGCATAAACCTTGGATGCTTATTGTAAAACAGAATAAAGTAGAACCTATCTCAAAGACTTGCATTGAGTGCTTTATTACATGTAAAAAACATAGAACTGTGCCTGGCACATATTAAGTGTCCAAAAAATGTTAGTTATCATCATTACCATTTTTATCCTTCTAAAACAGAATCATTTACTTGTTTCTGGGGACTGGGGAAAAGAGTCTACAAAATACATATTTAACCTTTTCCATTGTATTCCTAGCCCTTTGCTTTATCAGGAGCATCAATCTTTTTCCCACTCAAAATATTTTTCATATTCCAGTGGTTCTCAAGTTTTTCTTTTAAATAGGCACCTGTATAATATAGAGAGACATTCCATGAACTTTCACGATATAATCTACAATTTTAGAATCTTTTGATTAAGCACATAAGAACAGAGGAATTTAAGGAACTCTTGCAATAACTCTACAGCCCCTCCTGAGTCTGAGGCTGACTTGGTTAGGAACCATAGTTTTAATCAGTAATTAATATATTTAGACTGAAGTATAATTCTGGTTTATTTTTAATAACCCAATGGGTCACAGCTCTTTCAGTCTCTCTTACCTCGCCCATGACTGCTATGGGAGTCTCTCCTGTTGCCTGAGCAACACGATGTTCTACTAAGTAAAACATATATTCGTCGTAGAGTAGACGGATCAGGTGGAAGGAGCCAAAGCTAGCAGCACTGCGTAAGGTTAAGTCCCGAATAACCATTGAGCTGTTCCAAGAGAAAAGACATATATGCAGCTAATATTAATGACAAAAATTAGCACTCTACCTATTTTTCCTCTTAAAAAAAGTCAAGCTGGGAGTCTATATGGTTGGTATAGTATAAAACCTGCCATGAAATCATTTCATTATTGAAAGCAGTTGCCTCAACTCATTTAAATAGAATGATAAAGAGGTAATCCTCACCGAGACTTGATCCTTATTAGAGATAGATAGTCTTAGTGGAAAAAGTCACTTTACTATCATAGGCAAGTCTGCTGCTTCTACCAAACTCACAAATAAATCAGAATTCAACAAAAAATATTTCTGAAAGATTCAGCACTCATCACTACCCTAAGAAAAAGCAACTTGAAGTAAAAATCTTACTGATGAAGGTTGGCAGTCTGTCCCCTCTCAGTGATAATGACCTCTGGGGTATGCTTTAGGAAAAATATGTATTTCTGCCAGACAAAGCTTACAAAATATACTAAGCAATATTCCCCGATGTGGCAATATAGATTACAGGCAAGTATGTACAAGGATTCCAGCAAGTTTTCTTGGAAGGTAAACGTATTAAGTGCTTCCAGTTTCTTATGATTTCCACTTAAATTATGGCATATTTACATTAGAAATAAGCACAATAAAATCAATTAAGAAATCCATTATTTTTGAAAATGCATTTAATGTATATAATATGAAAATATAAGCAATATTATTAATAAAATAATAATAAACTCTATTATATTTAAAATGGAAATGAGTCCAAAATAAAATCTTGGCTTCAACATGCCAATCATTAAGCTTGTTCACACACTTCAAACCTTAAAATAGTCAAAATTTAGAATCAGAGTGATGTGTGTGTGAGAGTGTGTGTATGTGTGTGTTTCTTACCACTTTCATTTATTGGCCTTTTTCTAAAGACTTTTGGCACACGAACACTAAAACCACCATTGAATTCTCAGGAGAAAGAGGTAAAATCTCACCTATGCCTTGTTTTACAGTAAAGAATTATAACACATTAGGCAAATGGAAAAACAAAGGCTGTACTTTTGTTTTCTGTTTCATTTTTCAACCTTGTTTAAAGAGAGGCTACTAATACATCAAATTGTATGCATTCAACTTGGCAAGTGACAAATCATCATTGTCCATCTGAAACACAGAAGCCTTGAATTCTGATTCTGTCTCTTCATTGACTGTTGACCTCAAAAAGATCATTTATTTCCCTGAGATGTTTTTCCTCTTGCATGAAAACAAAACACTGCCTTTAGTCTTATCTAACTTACATGCTTATTTCAAGGATAAAATAAGTTAAAGGATGTGAAATCAACTTATAACTAGAATGCTATTCAAATATAAGTGATTGTGATTATAATACACAGAAAAAGAGAAGCTGACCTTCTCATTCTCATTTATTTATGGTGGCAAGAATAGCAATTATTATATGATGATGGCAGAGGGCCTCTCAATTCTGTAGATCTATTTACTAAGTTATAATAAGAAGAATAAGTGTGGGTTTGAAGTTACACAGACCCAGGTTACCACTGTGTGATTTCAATTGTGATCACGTAATTTTTTGTAAGGTTCAAAGGTTAGCCCAAGAGTCAAATGAAATAATGTATGTGAAATCTTAAGAAAACTACCCATGTAACTATACTGTTACCTACATTAGTGTTGATAATATATTCATTATCATAAATAGTAGGTCTAGTGAATAATATCTTGTAATTGATTACCTTAATGAATTCCTTAAGTTTACAACTCTATAAATAATTATTAAAAATAAATGAATACTTTCATTTGCATGCCAAAATATATGACAAAATTCTATATATAACTCTATCCATGACTTTTCTAAAATTCAGTGACATATTACCAATTTGTAAAAATAATTTATAAGATCATAATATAAGAGCTATGTGAAAATAAATGTTTATATTCCTATGGAAAAAAATTTTAAAGCAGTGAATCACTTACTAAAAAAAAGCAAAAACAACACAAAACTAAAAATAAAATGTTATGTAACATTTTTACCCATACTAACAAAGACTTGAAATAAATGATTTTTAAAGTAAAGCATGAACAGAATATTTGCTCCTAATTGCATTTATCTTGCTGAAGAAAGATAGCAAGTATCTAAAATTTTCAAATTTTAAAAATTTAAAGGATAAGACAAATGGTTAACAAACATAAAAAAATGACTCCTTTTATTTGGAATTAAAGAAATGAAAATTAAAGTAAGATACCTTATATACTCTACAAAGCTGTCAGAGGTTAAAAGACCCAATGTTAGAGTTGGTTTGGAAAAACTCTCCTTTACTGTCTCTATGAATATAAATTCATAAAACTTTTGTAGAGGGAAATTTGGCAGTATTTGTCAAAATTTAAAATGTCAAAACTTTGACCCAGAAATCGAATTCTAGAAATTTACACAAATAACCAAAGATAGTTACAACTGCAGCACAATATTTGTACTAGTGAGAAACTAGGAGGAGAAAGTAAATATCGTTAAAAAGATAATCTAGTAGGATGCTGATTAAACAAGTTATGGCTCATTTAGATATAAAATTGTATGCATATAAGTAGTTAAAAATGAAGTAGACAAATAAGTAGTAACATGGAAAGATGTTTATAATATAATGGTTAAGTTGAAGCAAGATATATGAGCTCATTTACATAAAAACACTCCATACGTCAAAACATTCCTACCCCCAAGTAAACTGGAATATCTAATACTTTATTAGCATTGAGATCACACATTTCATTAAAGTAGTATTAGTTACTTTAAATGTTTATATCCTTTTACTTGAACTTATCCAAAGATATATGTACGATTGTATATGAAGATAATCATGATAGCATTTTAAAAAACTGTATCAAAATACCAAAACCCATCTTAATGTTCAAGAATAAGGGAATGTCTAAATAATGTATAAGGCATAAACATAATGAAATAGTACGAGGACATTAAACATTATGTTTCTGAAGGTATTTAATGGCAAGAAATGCTTAAGATACAATTGCAAATAAAAAATGTTAAGAGAAAAATATAGTTAAATAGTTCACGGGAAACAACTGGATCCCAATTTTATTTAACCCCAAAAGAAAACATTTAACCAGTGGCAATTTCTGGGTAGAAGTTTTTGTATTTCCTAGATTATCTTTTTAAAAAATTAATTTTTTTTTTTTTTAGAGATGGGGGTCTTGCTGTATTGTCCAGGCTGGGGTGCAGTGATGCCATTATAGTGATTCACTGCAGCACTGAACTCCTGGGTTCCAGTGATCTTATGCTCCTCACCTCCCATAGGCACTTGCTACCATGCCCAGCTTATTATTTTATTTTGTTAAAGATGGGGTCTCACTGTGTGGCCCAGGTTGGTCTCGAATTCCTGGACTCAACAGATCCTCCTGCCTCAGCCTCCCAAATAGCTGGGATTACAGGTGCAAGCCCCCATGCCTGGCCTGTATTTACCACATTTTCTAATGTGAGCATATATTAACTGCATAATAAAAATATTTATTTTAAAAGATGTCATTCATTATATAATAATACAGAAAAACAATACCGAGTCAGGTGAATGTTAATAAATCTTTTCAGGAATGAATATCACAGATAGAGAATGAGTCTTTCTTCATACATTTCTAAGTTTGAATTTTAGGTCTTTGTATTTCTCTTTCTCTTTTTTTGTTTTGGAGATGGAGTCTCGCTCTTGTTGCCCAGGCTGGAGTGCAATGGCATGATCTCGGCTCACTGCCACCTCCGCCTCTTGGGTTCAAGCGATTCTCCTGCCTCAGCCTCCCGAGTAGCTGGGATTACAAACATGCACCACCACGACTGGCTAATTTTGTATTTTTAGTACAGACAGGGTTTCTCCATGTTGGTCAGGTTGGTGTCGAACTCCCGACCTCAGGTGATCCGCCCACCTTGGCCTTCTGTTAAAATACAATAACCCTGAAATCATGTGAACAACTAAGGAGAATGTTCATAACAAATAGTTTTCTGGTATCATTTTAGAAATGCAAATTCAACTTTTCCAAGAAAATTCACATTTATTTATTCAGCAGATATTTATTGTGTTCCTACTCTGCAGCAGGGTCTTGGTTCAGACAAGAGAGACAAAATTTGGTTTCAAAAAAGATCACATTCTATTAGGCGAGACAGTCAGTAAATATACAAGTAGATAAAAAATATAAAGTTAGAGAGTAAGAGATCCTATAAATCAGGGCCAGAGACTGGAGAGTGATGAGGGCAGGCATTTTAAGTTGGGGTATCTAGAAAATTCTTTCTGAGGAGGTGATATCTGAGCAGAAACTGGATTGAAGTGAGGAAATGAACACAGGTGAAGAATTTTCCTGGCAGAAAGGAGAGCAAATGAAAGAGCTTGAGATAGAACTGTTTGCTGTGTTCAAAGAGCAGCCAGGAGGCTAATGTGGTAGGAAGGCAGTGAGCAAAGAGAAGAATACGTGATAGGGTCTGTACGACTCTAGTGGCTGGACTGTGTAGGGTCTAGTAGGCCATGATAAGGCCTTTGGATTTCATTCTGAGTGTTCTGGAAACTTCTAGATGGTTAGGCAATCACCTTATTTCAGCATAAAATGCACATGTAATACTAAATTCTGTTGGAAGTTTTTTTAAAAAAAATTTATTGATCCTCAATTATAATACCTAGTTATTTAAAAAATACTGATATGTATGTCACAAAATTATTGTCATATGTTTAGAAAAGAATCAGCTGAATTGTATCATTAACGCTATATCTACCTTATTCTCTCTGTGTCAGGCTTCCGCTCTACATGCCAAGTATTAAATGACACAATTAACAGTTTAATTGGAATCCTATTGTCCGATTCAGACTTCCGTAAGATATGTTGTAAAATTGACTCCACTGAAGTGTTGCTAAGTTACCATGAATTCAACTCTTTTTAAGATCAGAGTTGTAAACGTTAATTATTTTATAATGGACAAGAAATACCTTTGTATATTTATCTTTATAATTCATCATGTGGAAATTG